ACAGAGGCAGGGAATATCTGCAGCAATGCATCTGAAGTCTGGGAAGAAGATCTGTGAAAGTTTATAAAAGGTATGACAAGCAGTTGTACCTGCTATACACAAGTGAGGTAATCCAGCATCACTCTACTGGGTGATCATGTTGTATCACCTGTTAAAACATCACTGGCAGAAACTGGCTGACTTTATCCTGGCAGGAGTTTCCTGGCATCCTTGACAGCAGATTTGTATCATCGACCTGGGCTGCTAATCTGGCTAAACCTTAACTGGGCATCAGGAAATGTCCTGGGATGTAAAGGTGGCTGTAATGATGTTTACCACATTGCCTGTTCAGTGCTGATTGGTCTAAAAAAAAATACTTGTCACTGGTGTGACAAATGCTGTTAACTTTTACATCCTTGACAATGTATAGCTACAGAAAACACAGCAAAGCTGTTAACTCTTTGAGTCCCAAGGAATGCCTCACACGTTTATAGGTTTTTACCTAGAAGCCCAATGAACGCATGATGCACCGTTTTTAATAATTTCTTTACTACCCCCTGGGCCTGTGATGCTAAACCGCCTGGGACTCAAAGAGTTAAAAAACTTGTCACACTCATTGTGGCTTTTTTCACAATTACTACAGTTCAGAAAATGTTTTGTTTTTGAAAGTAAAATGGGACTTGCATAACATGTTTCAAGGTATGCCTGTTGGAAAATTTAGAATCATGATTATTTCTTGCCTGTTTTTCACTCGAGAATTTTAACTCAGTGAAATGATTCTGCCAAATAACTGTTGTGTGTAATGGTGTCCTTCCCTTTTTCTCCATGACAATCATACTTTCTGCCTAAAGAAATATTGTTCTCAAGTGTATATTGTTGATATCCCTTGCCAGACCTTTTGGTGGCTGATGTTATTCCTGCCCCCTGCCCTCCCCCCCCCCCCTCCCACCTAGTATGTCCAAGAAGCAAGTCTGTGTTGAACTGAGAAATGGTTCTCAAGTTGGTAGTTTGTCAGAGATATGAGAAAGTGGTTCATGCTTTGATAGCCTGTCAGTAAAGAGAGAAAATGGTTCATGGGTGAACAGACTGTAAGAGGAAAGCAGCCATGAACAAATATTTCAGATTTCAAGTGGTATTTGGTAGCCATTGAGTAGCTTGTTTGTTTGGATACTCTTGCCACTATACTCAAGAACTATTTGGCCAGAATTCCTACAATCTGCAAAGGTACATTTTACCATATTAATTTTTTTGGGAACTGTATTTTTAGTGAAATCTGACATCGGATTGGCTTTTTGTGTCTGTGTGTGTGTGTGTGTGTGTGTGTGTGCGTGAGTACATGCATGCAGGCCTGTGTGCGCATGCAGGCATGCATGTATGCGTGCGTGGTTGGGTTTTTTTTTTTTTTTTTAGAAACAGTATGACAGTATTTTTATAGTCTTGCAGTATTTAGTTAGAAATTAAATGCAGTTCAAATTTGTTAAAACAGTTTCCATGTTGTGTGAAAGTCCTGAAGTGGTATGGAATGATTCACCATGTATATGAAAGCTTTTAGAGTTTTAAATTGTTTCAAGCTCATACATTACAGTAAATTAATTTTCACAGGGACTTAATAATTTTGTAATTTAAACACTTCAAAGAAAAATTCAACTGTAAGAAAACTGCTGTGCTTCCATAAATATGAAGCATCAAATCACAGTGACTTGGAAAATATAAGGTCATGCAAAAATTCATGTTGGTCCTTGCAGTTGTCCTAGAGACTTTTCATGACATTTCTTCTTCTTCTTGTTGTCATTACATCCCTGATGTATACACGGACAGCTGAGTTATCCAACAGTGTTCATCCATTATAGCAACAACTGTGTACTACTGTATTGCTAACTTTAGGGTCTTTCAGGTGTGGAGTGGGTTCTTCCCTGTCCTAACTGCCTGGAAGATTTACTATGCCATTACCTCATTGTTGCCCCAACTGGTTTCCCACTAGGGGCTGAAATCCCAACCGTCCACTGGGTTATTACTGGGCAGAAACAGGTTCTGCCATATGAAAGGAAGGTATCCTTGGCAGGAGAGGCTAAAAGAAATTGAATCTTGAATTGTTCATTATTACTTCAAAGAAGCCCAAAGTGAAGAATGAAGACTCCTGCTTCTTAGGAGAGACCATTATATTATTATAGAGACCATGTCCACAGTGAAACTCATGTTATTAACCTTTGACCCCTGCAGACAGTCAGCATGATCACATGATGTCACAATACTTCAGACAGGTCCATAAGTGCTCTGATCCCCTGCTCAGTGTAAAACAACTGATTATGTCCGTTCATTATTGATTAAAAAAAAAAAAAACAACGGTTGTGTAAAAATAAATAGTAAAGGAAAGGACCCATGTTAATTCAGTGACACTTTTTTATAGATCAGTCAGCATTCAACATGACTGACTGACTGACTTTCTACCCCACCAGAGCATTCAACATATTATCTGGTAAGTTCTGACCTCCTTTACCACCCAGTATATTGCCTGGTATCCATTTTCAGTTGGGTCAACTTGCAGCTAAAGTAAACTTTGAAAAAATTGTCATGTTGCAGATTTAAACACACAACCTTCAGGTTGGCAGGAAAGTGTCTAGCCACTGTGCTACTGGGGCTCCCAAATGTTTCAGATAGGAACCATAAAGTTAGTTGCGTATCCTTACAGGACGTTGCAGAACCAACCCTAACAGCCCCTGGCTGTTGTGTGGTTTCTCTAGGCAATATACGTCCAGTAGTTTGCCATTGCTTTCTGGACGGTCGGCTTTCTTGATAACACTGTCGAAACCAACGCAAGGCGCAGTGCCCGCAGCTGGGATCGAACCTGGCATCCCGGCATTACGAAGCAAAGCGTTCGCATCGACTTAGCCACAGAGCCGACATAGGAACCATATATCATTGTATTTAACAACAATTGCTTTGAAGCTCACGGTAGTCAAGGGTAGACAACTCAGTAGCTTGGGAATAACAGCATACTTTGATTCTCTGTTACAGGTTATCTCCAAATGTTTTATTTGTTATTGAATGTGTACAAGTGCAGAGGTGATGTTGATGGAATACAAAATGTGTGCCTTTTCTGGTTGCTGGAGTTACATCTCCAAATGTATTGCCCTATAAACAGTGTGTCGACAGTGTAGTGCATGTTACTGCCCATGTTTGATTCCCTGTCAGAGTATGCCATGTTTAAATCAGCTGTCATTTCTTTGTGTGGACCTGACGTTAGCAAGCTGCATCTGTATGCCATCAATATTTCATCAAGTCCATTGTTTGATGATGTGTTTTTTACCATGACATTATTTGAAGCATTGAAGCCTGGAGCAAATAAAAAGCTGTCACAAATAGTTTCTCTCTCTTGCACTCATTTATAGGGTAGATTTCTAATCGTTTACCTCGACTACCAGGTCAACCCACCCTAAAATGAATGCCAGAAACTGTCCTGGGAAGTAAAGGTGGCTTGCATGATGTTCACACCAGCCCATCGAGTGCTGATTTGTCTATTCAAATATGAGTCTAGCGTTATATGCCTGATGCACCAGTGGTGTTAAAAGGATCCTTTCAGCTTTTACATACACAGTGCTAGATCAGCTGTACATGCATGTTATGATTGTAACTGACTCACAGAACATGTTATGAAAGGTGGAGACAGGCATGCTCCGTGCAGAGTGGAAAGCCGTGTTTTAATTTTATTTCTAAACTGTCTTTCTGTCTTCCAGTCATCATTATCTCTGACTTTGTAGTGTTTATTCCCATATTATTTTCCTCCCCTTTGTTACTGATTTGATTTAGGTGGTTCTGTAGGCATTCGGTACTTTCTGCTATAAGTACTTGGTCGTCGGCGAATAGTATTTCTATAATATCTTAATCACGATAAAAGTTCCTTTCTTTACATCGTCTTAGCAGGAATAGACCAAATGATTTCGCAGGCCTGAGACTGCCCACGGGCCAGACATTCAACACCCTAATCAAAAGCCTCCAGTTTACATATTCCAGAATTCCACACAGCATTCAAACTTGTAACCACCTCATGAGAAGAAATAAACTGTACTAAGTTATAACAGAATAGTAGACTATTCTTGACATAATTTTCACTCAGGCACTAAAAGTCATCACCTGAACCAATAGATTCTGAATGATTGTCCACTGGCGTGTGAATGTTTATAAGTGTTAGTCCTGGTAAGAACAGTGTAAAAAGTGGGTGTGAGCAGTTCATCAACATTAGATTGTCATATATACGGAGATATGTATTTGGGCCGCACAACTGATACATTATTGTGTTGGATTATTAAGTAGACAAAATGAAATCTCAGACATGTTAGCAGGCAGGCAGGCAGGCAGACAGACAGGCAGACAGAAATAATACTGCAACAAATAATGAAATGTGAAGTCACACACAGATCGTATTTTCAAAATAGTACTTTCTTCAATGAAACCATTTCAGGCAATACTAGAAATTATTGCTCTCCTCACAAAAAGGCCCTTCCCTCTGGCTGTAACATTGGCACACGTAGTTATCATATAGTTCATTCGTAAATTTTTGGGCTTCTTCAAAGGCAAATACTTGGCGACGTTGGTTGTTTTCTGTTTCAACATCCATAACAGTGGATGAATTATTGGCTATATTTACATAACGCTCCTGTGTGTGGATATTTCTGCTCGAAGATAATTGATCCGAAGTTGTAGTTTGTGTCAGGGACATTGTTGATTCTTCTACAGAACCGTCGCCATTAAACGGTAGAGAATAATTAGAGCGCATCTTAATGGTTGATAGATCTGGATTGTTTGCGTTATCAAATTTCAGACTAAATGTGTTACGTGTTTGCTTTTTGTCACCAAGAGATCTCTCTGCGAAAGTCATATCGTCTCTAGTTCTGTCCAATGCAAAGCTTCGCTTGCCATTTAATTGACTGGAAAAACTCTGGATGTTGCCACGGCTGGATGCATCTAATTTCGTATGATAGTCCTCGTGTCTAAGATACTGATCTGTTTGTTCTTCTTCAACGCTAGCAAGTGGAGCCCGGCCTGTCTGGGAAGACGCTTCCAGTATGTCTGCTAATGCTACGCGCATAGTCTTTCCTCACACACCTACCTCGCCCGCCACACAAACGTATACTACAGTTGGTGAATTTGTCCGTTAGCTGAGACACATACGGACCTAAGATATCATGCACATATTTTTTGATCCCATTACATTTCTCAGCGGGATTTGGCTTGAACCTTCTAGAAGATCCCCAGATGATGACCCCATCGATGCCCATCTCTGCGCTTAGACCAATAGCGTAATCGAGAATATCCTGTGGGGAGATAGATAAAGAATGGTAATGGTAAGGTACTAAATACAACATAAACAGTGACTATAAATCACAAAGGAGAAAACGGAAAAGGCGTTCACAAATATAACTAAAGATTCAACTAACTAAGGTTTCCATCAGTGGAGTACTAGACAACATAAATCGTGACTGTAAACTACAACTCTGTCAGGACAAAAAAGCTTTGAAACAATCAAGGCCAACATAAAATCAAGAAATACATGATAAGACAGGTAAACACATGCTATATTGTAAAAAAAAAATAAGTAAGAAGGCGCTTGAGGGAGAAATCCGCCTCGTGTCGGACACTTTATAATCGACTTAAGCTCCCGGATCGTCACAGGCTCTTTGGATTCCATGCTTTGACTCATTAATGGCATTTTTGTCTTGCTGGATTGGTCGAAGACTTGAAATAGCAAAGCTCTCGTTGGCGCCTGATCCTAATCAGCAAACCTATTGAGAGGAAACATGGGTCGTAGAGTGTCCATTGACAGGCACTTCATAATCAAATATTGTGTTGTTTACGTCCATAAAAGTGTAGGTTAAATTATTCTTTTCCAAAATTTACATACCTCACTAAAGAAATCGACATGGTTTGTCTGTACTATCGTGTATGCTATAATTGGAGTGTTAGGTTGGCAATACGTAGCTCGCAACCTGCAAGAAACAGATATTGACTACTGTTGGTCATTACAATTACGTCATAAGTCGTTGAAACTGAAGTTTAGTTAATCAGTGCCTGACACTACATAATCCAGTTGGTGGCTAATGATGCTAACAATCTGACAGGGGTGCAGGCTCTGGGGTAGGAAAGAAGTGGGTCAGAGTGTCCCAGCAAATGACAGACTTCTGTGTGGTTCTTATCCAACTGGGCAGTGAGTGCAGGAAACTGACCAGCTGGTGCTGCGGGGTAAGAAGTTCGACAAGTGATTCATGACAATTCTCGTCCCGGTGATATTATTATCTATGCAGATGTTTCTGTGTTGAGGGGCAGACGAGGTTCATGTGGGTTCTTGGCAAAAGCGAAGGAACATCGCTTAGTGCAGCAAAGCCTGGCTTATGAAAACACAACATCTAGTTTAAGAATTGAGGCGGAGGCAGTCACTACAGCCATCCGCTGGCTTGAAAATCAGCTGTATACACACGTTTTAATAGTGATCGACTGACTCAGCGTATTATGAAAAGTGGGGACCTTTATGCTCCGTGACGTGTGGCAAGCATCGCTTAAGAGATCCTGATAGTTAGCCTCTTTTCGATATTGTCTCAAGCAAATGCCGGTGCATTAGGAAATAAACAAGCAGGCAGACTGGCTGGTCTTCACAACTTCATAGTGAACTGATGCATGACAATCTAGGCGTTGTAAGGGCCCTTTAGGGGGGAGTGAACAGTGCGGATGCACAAATGGATCACCAACGGTCTGGGGAGAATGGTGCTGCAAGAAGTGACCAGAGGTTCTGGCTGAAGAGTAAAAAAAAGAATATCTGGCCGACGATCAAGTGAAACGTAAAACGGATATACAGACTGTTACTGCTACCATCGAAACTGGAACCCTGCACTTGTTGCTGACGATTGGGACAGAGCGTTTTCCGAATGATGTAATGTCTATTCCTAATTTTAACAGGTTAATGATAGGTCATTCTAGCTGAAGTTAGTAATTAAAGTTATGGATACTACATATCCTAATTCTTAGCTATAATTGTCACAAGTGGAAGTTGTCACTAAACCAAAAACTCAGTCTGGAAGTATGCATTACAATGATTTTTTTGCCAAAGTGCTCAATAAACAAAATAATATTTCAATAGGATCAAAAGGCGATTTAGATTTGTAATCTAGTTATCTGGTGGATAAAGGGACAATTTAGATTTGTATTGTGGCATAGCATATAAGAAAATAATCTTATGTATGTGTTAAGGGAAATATATACGAGTCGTGTATTGGTAAGTGTTTCAGTCACATATAGAAGTTAATTGTGTATGTATTCATGTCATGTGTTTTAGCATGTTCATGTCAGATATCGGAGTCATATGTTGGTCTATGCATTCATGGCATGTGTTTGAGCATGTGTTCAGGTCATATATCGGAGTCATATGTTGGTCCATGTATTTATGTCATGTGGTTGAGCATGTGTTCATGTCATGTATCGAAACCCTACGTTGGTCTATGTATTCATGTCATATGTCTGAACATGTGTTCATGACATATATAGGAGTCATATGTTGGTCTATGTATTTATTTCATGTGTCTAAGCATATGTTCATGTCATATATCTTCGTCTTCTTCGTTCACCAGTTGTAAACTCCGGCAGAAAGTTCTGGTTGTTCGTCCACTTCTAGACTGTAGTCCAGTTCAAAAATCTGAGTGTTCTGTGTGAATCCGTTTTACAGATCTGACTCATCTGTATGCTGGCTCCTTGTTTGTCAGGCAGATGCACTCGGACTTTGAAGGAAGCTCCCAGTAAGTCGACTCTTGCGACATGCTTTTTGGGTAGGCAGTGGGCCTATTTTTGTTTTCCTTATAATAGGGCCACGAAACCCACACGGGAATGTCATATATCAAAGTCATATGTTGAAGTATCATTCATGTCATGTGTTTGAGCATGTTTTTAAGTCATATATAGGAGTTATATGTTGGTCTGTGCCTTCATGTCATCTGTTTGAGCATGTGTTCGTGTCATAATCGTAGCCATATGTTGGCATATGTATCCATGTCATGTGTTTGAGAATGTGTTAATGTCATATATCTGAGTCATATCTTGGTCTTTGTATTCATGTCATGTTTCTGAGCATGTGTTCATGTCATATATCGGAGTCATGTGTGGAGTATTCATTCATGTCATGTGTTTGAGCATATGTTCATGTCATACATCGGAATCATATGTTGGTATATGTATTCTTAATAAGTGTCGGAGTCATTTGGGGGACAGTATGTTTATGCCATGAAAAAGAAACACCGGAACCTGAAAGTTATTGAATCTTAAACCCCCCACCCCGCCCCCCCCCCCAATCCCCTGCCCCTATCCCTCGGCCCATATTTTTCAGATGGGTTGAAATTTTAGAAATGTCTGAACAGCTTCTGACAACAAAAATTCATGTCAAAGCTGAAACGGCACACTGGGCTCACGCCAAAGCCAAGAGCGGGCAAAGAATCACAAACAAGTGCCGAAATGGGAAAACAACTACTATGGAAGCGGGAACATTCCAGTGAAACCCTGCCACGATATAGGCCAAAGACGATGGACTGGATTTCATACACGGTATGGGGAGATTGCACAAGATAGTACAGAAAAGAAAACTCCACGGCGAGCTCTAGGGAATGTACAACAGCACACACAAAATGAGGATGGTCATAGTTCACCGTCTAGCAGAATACATAAACAATAAAATGATTTTTACTATCAGGCTATTCACTAAGGTTATAGCCAACCATGTGTTTATTATCAGACTATACGCTAAAGTCATAGCCAACCACATTTTTACTATAAGACCATAAGCTAAAGTCATAGCCACTCATATGTTCACTACCAGACCACAATACACTACAGTCATAGCCAACCGTGTCATGTGTTTGAGCATGTGTTCATGTCATATATGATACGACTATACACTGCAGCCATAGCCAACCATGTCATGTTTTTGAGCATGTGTTCATTTCATAAATGATACGACTATACACTAAAGTAATAGCCAACCACCCGGTGGTTCACAGTACAGAGACTGATCGATTACCATCTGGCAGCACACGAAAGCATTTACAATCAAGTGTTAGTTCACCATCTGACAGTACAATCAAATGTTAGATCACCATCTGACAGTACAATCAAGTGTTAATTCACCATCTGAAAGTACAATAAAGTGTAAGTGTATCATCTGATAGTACAATAACGTGACAGTTTATCATCTGACAGCAAAATAAAGTGACAGTTTATCGTTTGACAGTAAAATAAAGTGACAATTCATCGTTTGACAGTATAATAAAGTGACAGTTAATCGTCTGACAGTATAATAAAGTATCCTCTGGTAGTACAAAAAGTGGGTTCATCATCTGAGAGTACAAGAAAGCGATAGTTCATCATCTGACAGTGCAAGACGGCGATAGTTTATCATCTGACAGTACAAGAAAGCGATAGTTCATCATCTGACAGTGCAAGAAAGCGATAGTTTATCATTTGACAGTACAAAAAAGCGATAGTTCATCATCTGACAGTGCAAAAAAGCTATAGTTTATCATCTGACAGTACAAGAAAGCGATAGTTCATCATCTGACAGTACAAGAAAGCGATAGTTCATCATCTGACAGTGCAAGAAAGCGATAGTTTATCATCTGGCAGTACAAGAAAGCGATAGTTCATCATCTGACAGTGCAAGAAAGCGATAGTTCATCATCTGACAGTGCAAGAAAGCGATAGTTTATCATCTGACAGTACAAGAAAGCGATAGTTCATCATCTTACAGTGCAAGAAAGCGATAGTCCATCATCTAATAGTACAAGAAAGCGATAGTTCATCATCTTACAGTGCAAGAAAGCGACAGTTCATCATCTGACAGTACAAAAAAGCGATAGTTCATTTTCTGATAGTACAAGAAAGCGATAGTTTATCATCTGACAGTACATTAAATTGAAATTTCACTACGTAACAGTGCAATAAAGTGATAGTTCACAATCTGACAAGACAAAAAAAAGTGATTGTTCCCCATCTATAAATATTATAAACTGATAATTCACCATCTGAGGTATAAACAAGTGATAGTTCATCATCTCAGATACAAACATGTGATATTACACTATATGACAGCTCAGTAAAGTAAGCATTTATCATCGGATAGTACAATATAGTGAAAGATAACAATCTGACTGTACAGTAAAGTGATATTTTACAATCTTGCAGTGAAGGGCAGCAAGACAGACTTGATGATTTGCCACCTGCAAATGGTAAGAGTTTGCAAGTTTTTGACAAAAAGAAAATAAATAAACTATCACCCGAAATA